ACGCCAGGCCCACGAAGACCGCGAAGCCCGCGAGGCCCGGCCCACGAAGACCGGGACCATATGGTCTTAGGCCCGTCACGGGCTGGTCTTACCCGCCAGGCCCACGAAGACCGGGACCGCGAAGACCGGGACCGCTTGAGCCCAGGCCCACGAAGACCGGGGACCGCGAGGACCGGCCCACGAAGCCCGTTTAGGCCCGGGACCGGCCCACCAAGCAGCCTGTGTAGGTACGTATACTAGTTTCTTCTAAAGAGGGCAGCTAAATATTAGCCTATTTTCCGGTCAATGTTTCAAAAGCCTCTTAGGAAATTAATCTGGACCGCAGGATACTTATTGAACTACTTGATCTGAACCGTCCATAGTTCAATCCAAAGCAGCTCCAGCTCTATACACTGTGACACTTGTCCTTATCTTTAAATCTGAATCCTACGTTTAATATTCTAGTACACAACCTTTGCCGAGGAAAAAAAGAAAACTCAACAGCTTTCCCGTTTCTTCTTTCGTTTCCCCTGTTTTAACCCTAGACCCTTTTGTCATCTAATATTGTTGCAGGCCGCTGGATTTGGATAGTCTCTTCCAGGTAATTAATTCAATATAATACTTGTATTTTAGATTCGATTTATCTTTGTAAACTCTGTTTTTCATTTTTTTTAGTTTTCAGATCGTGTTCTCTGCAAATTTTATATCAAAAAAATCCAAGCTTTGGTTTCTGGTTTTTTTGCAATTTGTTTAAGCAGAAACGGATCCAGGATTTCACGAGGATTAATGCACTAGGCGGATCAATGATTTAAATTTGACCGATTAATTCTTAGGTTCTTACCATTAAATTCATCACTTGTATAATTATAGGTTCAAATTTTTTACAAAACAATTGTGCCTTTTCACATATATATATATATCTACTTAAGAAACTGTTGGAGTGATTGATTGAATCATTGACTATATGTTACATCCTCTGCTACTACTATATTTAATATAAAGATTTGGTTTAGTTATGTAAAATTGTAAAATTTTAAAAAGGAGAAATAGAGATTTCAGTGCGTCTCTGAAACAATAAACCAAGATACCACCCGTGGGATTTTGACTCCACGGTGTTTCGGAAACAATCCTGAGCCGAGGGTCGCTTGGAAACAACCTCTCTCTTCTTCCATGTAGGGGTAAGGCATGTCTACATATTACCCTCCCCAGACCCCACTTTGTGGGACTATATTGGCTAGTTGTTGGTGTTGGTGTTTCGGAAACAACCTCTCTACTCCTCCCGGATAGGTGTAAGGTCTACGTACGGCTCATGCCTGGCTTTTGGATTAAGCAACTTAAGCCCAAGCTTTAGGCCCCCAACTTTAGGGGGCCCCACTTTTTATCCTATAGTTTCTTCAACGACACCCCTTCGTCGAAAAATTATACTGTGTAGCTGGGTTATTTTAAAAAAAATGTGTATATACTATATATTGACACCCTTTGACTTCTTGGTGAGTTTATTTCTTTATATTTGGACTCCCTTTAATGAAAATACTGGCTCCGCTATTGTTTATTAGGTAGTTGTCTGAAATAGAGAGATATTTCTTATCAATGTTGGACTTAGGGCATCAAGTTGTTTAGTGCCTTCGAAATTAATTTCAGATCATAAATCCTCGACTGACTTGTGAATTTCTTATCATCTATATGATCATTCGAGTTACGTGTGTATACACACACACCACTTTTGTTTCCGCATTTATTTATTTTTTGCAAAATTTCTTGTTAACAGCTTCTTCAACATTTCTTCTCCTGTTATTCCTTTCTACTGACTTTTACATATCTTTGTTGTTTGATGGCAAAATAGATAAATCAGTAAATTAAATCTTGTATTAGAGTTGTATCTATCTGCAGCCAGATGGGTGATTCCTCTCAAGGTCTCCCTCTCTCTGCCTCTCCTGCAACCCGTGGCCTGTTCCTCCGCACGCGCATGATTTGCTATCAGAAGTTGAAGGCCGTGATTTCATCTTTTATGGAGTTTAATTGGTTGGCGCCAGGGCTATTAGGTCGTTCAACCGGTGGCAGTAAGTCTTTTTTTAACCTATAGATTGAGTTTCTGGACTTGGAATTATGTGGTTGTTTAAGGCTAGCAATCTATCACATAAAAGGGTGATTGAACTTAAGGAACCCTCAGGGGTTGACTTGGTGGCAATTGACTTGAGCCTTGGGGTTTGCTCCCTTTCAAGGTCTCAAGTTCGAAACCCACGGGGTGCAAACAATTTCTGAGGGCCATCGGACTGGGTAAAACCCGAATTAACCGTGGTGCACTTGCGGGAAATTCCTTGCCGAGGGCCTGGTCACCCCCGGGATTAATCGGGGCTCGAAGAGACTCGGACACCCGGTGCAAATCAAAATAAAAAGGGTGATTGAACTTGAGGAATGATTAAGTTTGACAATGTAGTCATTATGTTATAGTCTTTTCATTGACATTGCCACAAATTTATGATATTTCCTTTGAGCAGAGATAATAATAGTGTATGAAGTTGGTGCATGGTTCTGCCATTTCCCGCTTGGCCATAGGATTTATATTCATTATACTTCTTGGTTAACCATGCTAAGAAATGACTAGCTTTATACGGTATTTATTTAGTTTGGGTGGCAGATCAATTCCCCAATTTACTTTGCTTATATTGTTCGGAGACTAAAAGATGCTTCCTTTTAGACTTTAAAGTGGCGATCTTTTGTGAAACGTTGACCATTCTAATAGTAGTGTTCATTGTTTTGGTGTGGTCGATTTTGTGTTTTCATAACTTTCTTTGAGATACTGAATGTTTTCTTCTCGTGTTTCTTTCAGAGCCTCTTGTAGAAGGTTATGACTATTTGTGGTATATTTTTACTAACATTGCCTTCGGGTGCTTGGCCGCTGCCTTCCTGCTGTTAGGGGGTATTCATCATCCGTATATTTTTGTCATCTGGATTTGCCCGGGTTGTTGCTTTTTACTTCATATCAATGTGCTGTACTCTGTTGTTTATTGGCATCGCGACATGCCTTTCCAGTTAATTGGTGCCAAGGCTAAATTTATGATCGAGGTCATTCCTCTGGTAACTGCAGCAGCCTTGCGTCACCTTTTGGATTTCAATTATGGGTATCCTGCTCTACTGCTAGGCTGCACCGGATATTTCTGTGCCTATGTGCACTTCTTGCGCGTAGCATATGATATTAAGGGAATAGATGTAATGTTGGGGTTAGTAATGCAAGGTCTTGCTTACATGTTGAACGTAGAATTATTAGTTAGAGCTTTAGTTTTGAGCTTCTGCTTTGGTATATGTTTCTATAGATACGTGACATATTGTGCCCCTGAAGTTCCTGCTCATGATAAAAAGGAGTTGGAGCAGCTGCCTTGTTGATTTGAATTATCTTTAGTATAAGTTATGAGTTATTTTCTCATTAGTGTGTATGCTTCTCTGACAGTTCGCAGCAGTTGTTCTTTCGCAGGTCTCAGTTCGAGATGCGCTTGTGTCATTTTGGCGAGATCTCGCATCAGGGAGGTGATGTTACCTCACAAGTAATGTCCCCGTGG